AAAGTCTCTCTTGCCTCCCCTCTGCCCTGCTAGCTAGAGGGGAGATCTAAAGTCCAAATGTCAGGTTTGATTAAATACAAGCAAAGTCTTTAACGGATGCAGCTTTACAGTTCCGTTGCTTTCACTTTCATGCAGTCGGGGGGAGGCAGACTTCCTTGATTTTGACCTCCCCGCTTTCAACCAAATCTCCAAATTTTAGTTCCAAATAGAAGTTCCGTTTTACTCACGGGTTTTTTCTGTCCGTAATTTACAGGAAGGAATCGGCGCTCTCCACTAATAGCGACGCGGCTTCACCCTGCGGGCTGGGTAGCGATTCTCAGCACCGCGCTCCCCCGATGTCGTTCCAGAGCCTTTAAAAAGGCTCTTTCTGCGGTAAAGGGGGGCGCTTTTGGTGCCCACCGAATCTCCTCGTTCACAGGCTTCCGCGCCTGTGATTTTAGGGGTCCCCCGCTTGCCGTAGCGGGACAGACCCGAACTCGCAGGGCAGTCCTTCTCCGGAGCTCGGAAAAAGGACCGCCATTAGCGCTGGCGCCGACCGGAAGTCTCTCGGAGAAGAAAAAAATTCCAGTGCCTAATACTGTATTTGTAGTTGGCATCCACCCATTGTTATTAATGAAGTTAAAAAAGAGAAATTTTTTGATAGAAAAATAAAGCACTGGAGAAGAAAAAATTCCAGTGCTTTATTTTTCTATCAAAAAATTTCTCTTTTTTAACTTCATTAATAACAATGGGTGGATGCCAACTACAAATACAGTATTAGGCAAGCTTGGCAGTTTCAAAGTTTTTAGCTTGTTTACTAATGTACAAGTAGAACATACATACTCCTTTGATTCCCTCCAAACATCCTTCTTAAACCATATTACTAAGGAAAAAAGAATACCAAAGCTCAAATGTAGCCAAATACTACTACTCCTAAAGTCTTGGAAATACTGCTTTTATTAGAACTAAACTGTGACAGCACCAACTACTGGCTCACGCACAGACAGCCACTACATCTCTAAATCTCTTCTGGGAGTTCTGTGGCCTAACCAGTTACAGTACATCCTATCAAAACTTGTACACAATTTGGTGGCTTCATTGCAGAAACCTGTCCAACTTATCTCTGTCAACACAGCTTACATTTATATAATACATATTACTACTTTCCCATTTCATTGAACTTATTTTGAACTTTTAGACAACATTTTTTTCAGCTACTCACATATACCTACAAATCTCAAACACTACTCTTTCAACAAGGCTGCTCAGCTGCACCAAACTTCAGTTCGGATCCCTCTGTAATACCAAATGACATCTTTTCTGATCACTACCATCACCAATCACTTATTCTTATGGTCCATGCTATTTCTCTAGAAAAAGAAGTGCTGGTGCTCACCCTGAACGCCTCCCTTGTTCTCTCATAATGGCAACGGTGTCCACCTGAAAGGTGCCAGAACTGAGCTTTGGCAAGTTCTGGCTAAAAAAAGCCCTGCTTGTGGTTTCTGTAAGTATTATACTGGCATACACTTCAAATGCCATACACTTCAAATTTCCAAATAGGATGACTGTGCAAGATTGAACTCTCCAACCTTCAGTCTTTCAGATCAAGTGAAATCTGATTTCTAAACAAGAATTGCAAGATGTGTTATAAATCACACACACAATCCTATTCACAACCCTACTATTTTTCTTTTAAAGCCTATATACAGAACTGCACTTCATATTATTTTTATTAAAACACCATTATCTGAAATTAAGCTGTATGAATTGTCCTTCTGATCCTCGGTTATTAACCCAGCCAATAATCGCTGTTAAAAAGTAAGATATCAATTAAAGCTCGATATGAATTGTAGTGCCAGCACAGAAACACATACTATTGCTGAAATATGAGCCCCTGGGAACAGCAATAGCACCAGTCACTAAACCTGGCAAAATTAAGAATGCCAAGCAAGCCGTATGATGCCATGCCCACTCCCTACCTCCCCCCACAAAAAAATTCTTGCAGCAACAGCTATATCAAATGCACAATATATTTCTTTACACCTCTGCAAACACTGAACTTGTTACTTCAACTCAGTAGTTAAAATTTGCATCTGTTCTATGTAGAACAGGTGAAAAAGCAACCTGATCACCCTTCTCAAAACATTACAACCCAAACATCCATTTACCGTATTTTTCGCTCTATAACACGCAGATTTTTTCTCCTAAAAAGGAAGGGGAAATGTCTGTGCGTGTTATAGAGCGAATGTGTGGTCCCTGGAGCCAAAAAATCAAGCAAAAGTCAAACCTCGAGTCACGGAGAAGGGAAACCTGAAAAGAGGAAGTGGCAGCTTTCCTGCATTCTGCCTCAGGGTCTTACTGCCCACCCTTCTCTGTTTCGTTGCTGTGATTGCTGAAACGGAACAAAGAGCAGGGAAAGCCCCTCCCCTCCAGGCAAGCAGAGTGTCGCTCTTTCTAATTCCTCTCTGTGCTCCGGTGCTGCTGGGGGAGAGGGAGAGAGAGTGGGGGAGGGAGAGGGAGAGAGAGGGGGGAAGGGAGAGAGAGGGGGGGAGGGAGGGAGGGAGGGAGGGAGGGAGGGAGGAGAGAGAGAGAGAGAGAGAGAGAGATGGCTGGCTTGGGGGTGAACTTTTGCCTTTCTTTCCTCCCACCCCAAATCCCTCTCCAGCATTCTTAGCCAGCTGCTTCTCTGCACACCCCTCTCATGTCCCTTCTTTGTTTTTCCTTCGCTCCCCACTTAAAATGTGGTTACAAAGCATAGATCAACATGGATCCTCAGGATCCTTGCATTGGGTCACCCCAAATTCACCATCAGATCACATAGCATGTCCATGGCTACAGCCTGCACCAAAAAAATCACGCACCCACTGTTGCCTGGGGCTGCAATGGTGCAAAAACGTGGTTAAAAAGCATGGATCCACATGGATCCTCAGGATCTTTGCATTGGGCCACCCCAAATTCACCATAAGATCACATAGCATGTCCATGGCTACAGCCTGCACCAAAAAAATCACGCACCCACTGTTGCCTGGGGCTGCAATGGTGCAAAAACATGGTTAAAAAGCATGGATCCACATGGATCCTCAGGATCTTTGCATTGGGTCACCCCAAATTCACCATCAGATCACATAGCATGTCCATGGCTACAGCCTGCACCAAAAAAAGCACGCACCCACTGTTGCCTGGGGCTGCAATGGTGCAAAAATGTGGTTACAAAGCATGGATCCACATGGATCCTCAGGATCTTTGCATTGGGTCACCCCAAATTCACCATCAGATCACATAGCATGTCCATGGCTACAGCCTGCACCAAAAAAAGCACGCACCCACTGTTGCCTGGGGCTGCAATGGTGCAAAAATGTGGTTACAAAGCATGGATCCACGGGGATTCTCAGGATCTTTGCATTGGGTCACCCCAAATTCACCATCAGATCACATGTCTGTGGCCACAGCATGAAGCACAAAAATGATACATCCACTGTTTCATTCAGAATGTTTTTTCCCTTGTTTTCCTCCTCTAAAAACGATGTGCGTGTTATGGTCAGGTGCGTGTTATAGAGCGAAAAATACGGTACATGCCAAGTTCACAATGCAACTATATAATTATGCCAAGCCAATATAAATCATCATTAAATTTGTGTGTGTGAGAGAGATCGAGATTAAAACCGAAGAAGCAGAAGGAGTCTGTTGCTCAGTTTCAATTAAGTACCTCCATTTCAACATCATTAATTGTAACTTTACACCTACAATTCATTTTTTGGGGGGGAGGATGGGAGCGGAATCCCATCCTCACCCTCTCTGCTAAGCAACGCCAACCTCTTTCCGCTAGGAGGCTGTGGTGTCAAAAAAAACCCCACCTGCTTTTCTCATCCCGGGAGGGGAACAAGGGGTGTTTCTAAATAGCAGCTCTGTAAGGATGACCACCCAAAACCAGTACAGCGGTACTTTGGGTTAAGAACTTAATTCGTTCCAGAGGTCTGTTCTTAACCTGAAGGACCACTTTAGCTAATGGGGCCTCCTGCCACCGCTGCACGATTTCTGTTCTCATCCTGAAGCAAAGTTCTTAACCCGAGGTAATATTTCTGGGTTAAGGGAGTCTGTAACCTGAAGTGTATGTAACCTGAAGCGTATGCAACCCGAGGTACCACTGTATTTTTATGCAGCGGCGTCAGGATGCAGCAAGGCAAACACCCTGACCATAGCTTCACCTGGATGCGATGCTAAGCCAGGCCAGGCCCACTCATCAGCTTTCACCTCCACAACACCCCTTCCTCCCCAAAGCCACGCACCCCCCTCCCCAAAAGAGAAACAGCAACCCCTCCGTCCCCCCCCTTCTGAACAAAGACCTTGGGCGCCCGCTGCCCAGAGCCTGACATCGGAGGATGCGCCGCTGCGGCGGCCCTGAGCGGGGAATTCCGCGGGGCTCCCCCCGCCCGGAAGCACCTACTCTCCAGTCGCGTCGCCGCAAGAGGCGGAGTCGGGGGGGGGGGCCGAGAACAACACACCGACGCAAACACACACACACACGTCGCTCTCGCCCGTCGCTCAGGCGCCTCACCCCCCCCCCCCCGCGGCCTTCCTCCTCCTCTCACCCCATCACCGTCCGCGGAAGCCGGTGCCGACCACCCTCAAGCCCGTCATGAAGGAGCCCAAGCCGCTTCCCGAAGGCGGTTGTCCAGGCCAACGCGTGGGGGGGGGGAGAGAGAATAGGAGTCTATGGCGGATTTTCTTTTTTGAGGGGGGGGGGTCGCGCGCGTTTCCTGTCACGGAAGGGCCGGCAGAGGCCTAGGAGATACTGGCTCGCCATCCCTTCACCCGCACCCACAGTACAGACGCCGCCTCACAAACCTGCGCCACCCTCTCCCCTCCCGCGGCGGCCGCGTCGCCTTCCTCCCCTCCTCAGGATCCTCCCGGGCGAAAAGGAAAGCGGAAGGAGGTGAGGGGGGGGGAGGTGGATGGGGGAGGGAAAGGGGCCCGGGGCGGAGGGACACACAGAGCGGCTGCGCACGCGCGGGAGGCCTTACCTCGCTCTCCGCCCGCCCGCCTGCTTGCCCGCCCGCCCCGACGTCCGTTGAAAGGAGCGCAGCGCGCGCGGGCGCACCCTCTCGGCGTTCGAGCCCGCCCTCCTGCGCATGCTCGGAAGGCGGGGGGGAGGGGGAGAGAGAGAGAGAGAGAGAAATGGCAGGGAGGCGGAGCTTGGGTGTGTGGGTGGGAAATGTTTTCGCGCATGGGCAGGGCCGCCTCCGCCCGGCGCGGCCTTTCTCCTTTAGTGCGCACGCGCCCGTCGCTCCACATACCGCCGCCGCTTCTCGGGAAAAGAGGCGCCTTCCCAGAATGCAACGTGTTTGCAGCGCGCCTCCGGACGCCTATGGAAGAGGCTGTTCTTTGCTTTGCGCCCCCTGCCGGCCGCCTGGAAGGCGCAAGAAATGATTCAGTTACAGATAGGTAGCCGTGTTGGTCTGCCATAGTCAAAACAAAAAAAATTCCTTCCAGTAGCACCTTAAAGACCAACTAAGTTAAGTGTGCATGCACACGAAAGCTCATACCAAGAACTAACTTAGTTGGTCTTTAAGGTGCTACTGGAAGGAATTTTTTTTGTTTCAAGAAATGATTGTGAGAGTAGCCCTTGTGGAGAAACTAAGGAAGCGTCTTTCCTGCCCACAGAAACACAAACGACGGTTTTGAAACCGTATTCTACATGTACACAGTACACTTGAGAGGTGTCCCCAGCTACCCATGCAATCAGTTATAAACCACAAACCTAATGTGCATTATTTACATTGTATATGCAGGGAATTTCCCAGTAGTGATGTATGGAAGTGAGAGCTGGACCATAAAGAAGGCTGATCGCCGAAGAATTGATGCTTTTGAATTATGGTGCTGGAGGAGACTCTTGAGAGTCCCATGGACTGCAAGAAGATCAAACCTCTCCATTCTGAAGGAAATCAGCCCGAGTGCTCACTGGAAGGACAGATCGTGAAGCTGAGGCTCCAATACTTTGGCCACCTCGTGAGAAGAGAAGACTCCCGGAAAAGACCCTGATGTTGGGAAAGATGGAGGGCACAAGGAGAAGAGGACGACAGAGGACGAGATGGTTGGATAGTGTTCTTGAAGCTACCAGCATGAGTTTGACCTAAACTGCGGGAGGCAGTGGAAGACAGAAGTGCCTGGTGTGCTCTGGTCCAGGGGGTCACGAAGAGTCGGACACGACTAAACGACTAACAACAACAACAGAACCAGTCTGGAACCCCTTACCTAATGAAGTTACAGTTGCAAGTAAATGACAAGAAAAGATTGTGGCTCTGTCCCATGAGACTAGGGCCCTGCAGAATTTGATCTCCTTCCTCAGGGCCTGTAAGACAGAGGTATTCTGCCTGGCCCTTAATTTCAATTAGCCTGATCCTCTATTCCCTTTTCCCTTTTCCCTTTCCTCTTCTATGAAGAAACCCTTTCTGGGACCCCACATTTAAATTCTTCCCTGGTCTCCTTGCTGGCTTTAATAGGACCAACTTGGCCAGTTAGCCCTGGTGATCATTTGGTGTCTTCTGACTGGGTTACCCCCCCAAAAAAAAATGACCCCTGAATTTTGATATTGATGCAGCATTTTATGTTGTATTTTATGCTGTTTTATGCTGCTTTTAAGTCACATTTTAATCAATGTTTTATATTTGCTGTTAGCAAATTTTTAAACCGGGGAGGGGCAGGGCATAAATAAAAATTTATTATTATTATTAAACATTATGTGAATCTAAGTTTGGCCTCATTGAGGGGCAGTATTTCAATATGAGTGGGAAAATGAGAGTACCCCTAGGCATTTTTTCAGGGGAAAAAGCACTAAAATTACATATCTGTTTTCTCCTACTCTGACGTAAGTCCCATCCAGTCAATGAGTCTTCCTCTCTGAGGTAAGTAGCCAGAGGATTACAGCCCTGGCCAGTTATTTTACCTTCTTAGCTGACTGCAGGTACTGGTGGAAAGCTATGCTCCAGAAAACTCCCCATGTTAACCACGTTTGCTGCTGCTTCCTGTTTGTGCATTGCCATAATTCACACTGGCACAATAAAGTGTCCCATCTTGGGACAGTGAGCAGCACGTGCATCATGCTTTGAATGCAATCCATGCACACTGTATTACCTTACGTGGCTCTTGTCCTTAAGGAGAAAGAAACAGGCCATTTTGGAGGTGGTATTGAGCCAGACTGGATGCGGGTATCGCTGTGGGTTAAACCACAGAGCCTAGGGCTTGCTGATCAGAAGGTCGGTGGTTCGAATCCCCGTGACGGGGTGAGCTCCCGTTGCCTGGTCCCTGCTTCTGCCAACCTAGCAGTTCGAAAGCACATCAAAGTGCAAGTAGATAAATAGGTACCACTCCAGCGGGAAGGTAAACGGTGTTTCTATGCGCTGCTCTGGTTCGCCAGAAGTGGCTTAGTCATGCTGGCCACATGACCCGGAAGCTGTACGCCGGCTCCCTCGGCCAATAAAGCGAGATGAGCGCCACAACCCCAGAGTCGGCCACGACTGGACCTAATGGTCAGGGGTCCCTTTACCCTTTACTATTGAGCCAGACTGCAGGATGTGTTTCAGTCTCTCCATTGCCTACATGGAACCTTGCATTCTGTTAAGTCAATATTTACCCTATTTTACCCTACGCTCTCTCAGCAGATGCGGGCTAGTGAAACAATCCGTATCTTAGGCAGGCAGACTCAGTTGGAGGTAAGGTGTAGGACACCAGATCCCCAACAGCAGAGTGAGCATCCTTTCCATGAAGGGAAGTCTGTACATGCACAGGGGAACTTTTGACACTAGGTCATTGAAACTTAATTTCCCCCCCAGGGCGGCTTTGCACATGCTCAGAGGCACTCAGCCCAAAGTGGTAGAACTTTTTAGGGTGAATGGGGTCAGGCATTTTGTTGGAAAGCTGCCTTAATGGCCCTAGCAGGGGTGGCAAATATATCCCACGATCTTTTTTTGTCATTTACTTGCAACTGTAACTTCATTAGGTAAGGGGTCCCAGACTGGTTCTGTTAGCCTGACCCTATGCAGACTAAGGGAATGAGAATGAGTTTACTGGTTGCAGAGTGGCACTAAGTATTTGTAGGATCAAAGTGCAAATGAAATGCAGTGGTCACTGGCCTTACTGTGTCTCTACCTTGGCAATAAGCCTGAACTTTATAGGTTGAGGGTGAGTGAATGCATGCAGCCATTGTTGTTGTTTAGGCGTTGTCCTACTCTTCGTGACCCCCTGGACCAGAGCACGCCAGGCACTCCTGTCTTCCACTGCCTCCCGCAGTTTGGTCAAACTCATGCTGGTAGCTTCCAGAACACTGTCCAACCATCTCATCCTCTGTCGTCCCCTTCTCCTTGTGCCCTCCATCTTTCCCAACATCAGGGTCTTTTCCAGGGAGTCTTCCAGGGAGATGGCCAAAGTATTGGAGCCTCAGCTTCAGGATCTGTCCTTCCAGTGAGCACTCAGGGCTGATTTCCTTAAGAATGGAGAGGTTTGATCTTCCTGCAGTCCATGGGACTCTCAAGAGTCTCCTCCAGCACCATAATTCAAAAGCATCAATTCTTCGGCAATCAGCCTTCTTTATGGTCCAGCTCTCACTTCCATACATCACTACTGGGAAAACCATAGCTTTAACTTTAAGCAGCCATACCTTATGCAAAGTAAAGTGTGCATCACCCCATTGAAATTAATCAACTTAGATCCACTCAAATTTGCACGGGACCAGACTGTTAGCTGTAAGTCTCCTGTTGCTTTAAAGAAAGGGCCTCAATTAGCTACAGGTGTGCTGTGCTGAGGAAGGGCTTGTGCTTAAGAGAGAGGAGAGAGGTGTTAGCAATTAGTTCTTTGCTGGGCTGTCTTTGGATGCAGCAGCAGCATGGATACCTGGTTTGGGGCCAAATACAGGAAGGGCAGGAATGACTTGGCTTCGTAGAGCTTGCATTTAAGGAGTAAAAAGCAATTGGAAGGTGGGGATTCTTGGTTTATAGAAAGGTGTAGAAAGATGGTGAGAGCTTTAGTGGAGGCCTGGAAGAGGCTGGTCTGTTGTTGAAAGAATTCTCTGTATTGTTGGACTGTCTGGGTTTCAGAAGAGGTTTGTAGGCTTTTTGTTACCTTTGAATAAGCGTATTTCTTTTCCTGTCTTGCTTTTTATATGTTTATAAACTTACAGCCCCTTTCTAAAAATACAAAACTATAGTTTGAACGAGGTATCCTGGATAAGTTATCATGTGGGCAGTTACTGCTAAAGTTTTTGCGTATGTGTTAAATCCTAGAAATAATGCTGGCAACAGCAATAAAGATACTTGAGGGGTAATGGGAAATTTATTGTCTTTGCCTCGGAGGAAAGAAGAGAACTTTGACTGTAATGAATTGAGACGGGTGTGTTCACTGTAATAGCCTTCTGCCATTTTAGAAATAGATGTATTTCTGATTAGTCATTAAGCAAGCTGGGTCAACATTGTGCCATTTGAAATTGGTCCTACTGAAATTTTGAAAATGACGGGACTCAGTTCTGAGGAAGCATGTACAGGAGTGAGCTATAATGTATCTGTGGGATGTGAAATGTATTCTTTCAAAGTTATATGCATTTTCCATTTCTAGTATTGTATTTAAGCAGTGGCCATAGTCTCTGCTAATACTTATGGTTTCTCTACAACAGTTTGCACAAAATAGTCAGGTTTGAGTGGAAAAGGTGATGATTAAAGTAGGAGAAAGAGTATTTGCTTGTATGTTTGTGTGACCAAATAGAGCACTTACGGCATAAGATTCACAGAGAGCAATGAGGCTTAACGACATGGTTTCACAAAAAACTGTTTGTTTGGAGGACTTTTCCAATAATAAATGATAGAGTTCTCTGGACATTGCAGGGATCAGTCAGGCTGAAGTTGTTTTTATCCTAAATGCAAGAATGGCTTTAAGGTCACAAGGGAGCCTAGTGAATGGTCAATACCTGCCTGTCCCATAAAGCCCCCTTAAGGCTCTCTACTTTAAAGGGGCTTTCCCCAAAAATGTGGGGGAAAAGAACGGGGGAATGATATCTAGATGAATGGGTATCAAGCCCATGCCCCCCCCAGCCTTACTTGCCACTTTCCCTCTGCTTCTCTTTAATTTTATTTATTTATTCATTCATTCATACATACCCC